GTGAAAATGTTGTAAATATAGCTGTGAAATTTGTTTTGCATGCAATGTTCATGGTTTAATTTTAGTGCCAAGTCATGCTATAGATTTTAAGTGCATAACCCGACTCCTATTTCTAAACTTAGCAATTTCTCAATGGAAAACAATATAAAACGCATAACAGACAGATAAACGTACAGTCACGATCATTTTGGATGGTGTTTTTGTCTTTATTCATATAGGACAGTACGGGATCGGAAAAGAAGCAGGAATTTGACGTCCAGCACAACGTGTTTGAGTGCTACAAACATAACAATTTTTTTTATATTGTTTACAAATGGCAAGTTTAGGGTAAAAATTTCTCCTTTTCAGATACAGGAACAGCTGATTAAATGCAAAAAATTAAATGCACAGTCAAAATGTCTTGCATCTTTTTTAGTTGTGCAAAATTATAAAGATAAGCTGCTTTATGGTCATAAAAGTATAGAATCCTTCGATTCTCGAGTCAGTCTGTGCCAAAGGTTACTTAAAGTAATGGGTTACCAGACATGTCAATAAATAGACCCAGAGGGTGATGTATAGTGATGAAAAAAAAAAAAAACATTTATATACATTAAAAAATTATTTTCATTATTATATACATTATTATAAGTATAATTTTTGTTTTTTAATGAAATAAGAATTTTGTATAAGGAAATTTGTTTGTATCTGCTTATTTAACCTTAACCTTATATAACCATTAAGGAAAAATAAATAAAACTAGCATTTATAAATATATAAATAATAATTATTAATTATAAACATTTTTTAAAAATAATAGTACATTAAGCATTTTTTATTATAAAAATTAGTTTGTATTTGCCTACTCTGTTCATCAGTGTTAAAACCATTAAAGAAGAAACCACATCTTCCCCATTTTATTTCTGATTTAAAAAAAAAAGAAAAAGGAATGGATGCAAAAGTACACAGACCATACCTGTGTATTTTTGAAAATGTTTTAAATAACCAAAGTTTCCAAACCACAAGCTAAATACTAACTGTAAAGTGGCAAGATGTCCTGCAACACACACACTTCCTTCTCTAAACATAGTAAAATGCTCTTGTAATAACTTTACTTTGTTTTTGACAGAGTTTTGACTGAAATGATTGCATTCAGCTTCTTTGTTGTGCTCATTGGGATTGACGTTGACATGCATGGACACATTCAATTAAATGTTAAGTTAAATCTATTTTCTGGTCCACCAGCTAGACTGGTCCACCAAACCAGCAGGAACCATCATAAGCCAGCTTGAGCTAGCATGAAATTCTTCTGATCTTTTCAGCAGGTCGGTTGCTGTGTGCTCTTTTCATCATAAATAACTTGATAAGGCAGTTATGGCAGAGTGAATGGAATTTTGTTTTCAGGGTTTTTTCTTGGAAAGAATGTTTCTGGGATACACACAGATGTGTTCTCACACACACACACACACACACACACACAACAAGCAACACAATACAGACATTGACAGGATCCAGTGTGTGATATGCTGCTCAAGGTCAACTCTTATTTGCTATGAAGTGCTCTGTCCTTTCAATCTATCTGGTTATCTCCTGGCTTCCCTGCAAATGTGTGTGTTTGAGTGTGTATATATTGGTTTTACCTCCCAGTAGTATTCTCTCTTACTTATATTTCCTATATTTCCAGGCAAAAACAGCTTCTTTTTAGCTTAGTTAAGCTAAGCTTTAAGTCACACCGTGTGCTGCTTTAGCTTATATTTTTTTCTTAATTTGCTGTGACTTTAGCATTGATTCCAATACATATACTAGTGTATTTCTAAATGTTAGCAAAATTAGCTTTTAGCAGTACAGTATATGCATTGCAATGTTTGTTGTTTCTCTTCCAAGACAACTGGCCAAAATTGCTGATTGTGTTCTATTTTAAGTGTCATATTTAGGTGTAGATGAGCAAATATTTTAATAACCAGGGATGCACATAAGTGCTGCGCGGGTGCACATTCGTGACCAAAATAAAAAAAATTCACTGTGTAAATAAGTTCAGACTGCTTATTTATATACTGACCTGGTTGCTGTTAATGCACAGTCACTATTTTAGATCGACTAACTGTAATATTGTATGATATTTCTATTAGAACTGAAGGCATAGATCTAGGCTATATCCTGCCGGTTTCAGAGTAAAATGCAAAACTTTGACATTTCATTCAATGACACGCTTCACTTGGCAGTGCTAAAACCGGCAGTGTATATCCTACTTGCTTGCCGGAAACCTGCCAAAATAAAGAAAAAACTTGCTGATTTTATGTTTAAAAATGATGAAAATTCAGATAAAATAAAGAAGAAGAAAAAAAGCAAAGTAATAAAGAAATGAAAGAAAATGGAAATGGAAATATTAGTATTGTATTTAAGTGTGCTATAAAATTATAATTTTTTAATACTCACTTTTTTATTTTAAAATATAAATGTATTTTCACACATTTTAATTATTATTTTGTTTATTATTTTATTAAAAAAAGGAGTTCAATAATACAATTAATTGCTATTATTATTTTATTTTTATAGTTATATTTAATGGGTCACACTTTGCAGTGTGAGCACCAAACCAAATCACCAGATGCTTTCATGAGAACCAGACTGAAAAACATATGTGCATCCCTGTTAATGACTTCTTCACTATACAAAACATTGACATCAAATTGCCTAATATCAGGAGAATCTTGTGGTCTGTATTAAAGTTCTTGTGCATGTAATTGGTCTGCTTAGCGGATGTTAAATGCATGATGAAACACACAATTATTATGCTTGAATATCCTTTCTGAATGCACACATTTTCAGTGCTACATTCTCGTTTCACGCCTAGACTATTCACCGCTCTCTCTCCCCTTCGGTTTATCTCTCTCTCACACACTCACACAGTCGACATAAAGAAAGCTAACTACTGTAAGCTTATTTTATTCCCTGGCTGATAACTTTTAAATTTAATATTTCTGCACAGAAAAGAAAATCACATTTTCCTGTGTGAGAGACACTTCCTGTTTTGTGTGTTACGATAAGTCTTCCCATTTTAATTCGTTTTTAAAACATTTTTTTTTATTTCTTGGACTTTGTAAACGTATGAAATACCATGAAAAAACCATGACCATGTGAATCCAAAATTGGAAATGTATGGTGTGTAGTCGATATCTAATAGCTTTAAAGCCATCTATGTTTTTATACACTTCTAAATGTTGATAAATTCACTTATAGCTATTACATATTTAAAATTAATAAGAAATGGACCCAAAAATACTGATTATCTTTGTTGAAAGGACTGTCACATTTTGTTCTACAAGTAATGTTAACCATAGACCTTGTTTTTATGTTAAAAATCAAAATCTGCTTTTGTAAAATTGCAAATGGCTTGAAAATGCCATTTCTCTTATGGATTGTTGGACAAATTAAACTATTTAAAATAAAAGACAAGCCCTTGAATATGTTCTGCCTTAACTTCCTGTTTCAATTGGAAGCATGTCACCACAGGAAAAAAGAATTGCATATATTTAACATTATATATTTCTTTTCATATTATAGGGTCTTTAATAAGGGCTAAAGATAAATGTAGACATGAGTCAGATTTAAAATATTTAAGCTGTACTCCTGAAAATGCAGTTGAGATTTATGTTGCTGTTTTAAATATTGTCCACCTGCAGACTGACAACTTGATCTGCAAGAATGAAGCATCCAGCAAGCAGATAGTCTGTTCTTATTCCTCTAAATAAATAACCATGTCAGAGTGAGTGAGAGAGTAAAACACGCAGAAAGAACTTGCAGCGAGGGCAGAGAAAGATAACATGCAGGAAATTGAGAAAGGATGACAGCTTTGTGTGAGCCAAGAGATGCTCGAGATCTCTGCAGTTCTCTTAACCTTTGCACAGGTCTTAAAGACAGATCCCTTAAATTCACGCTATAAACAGAACGAGAAAATGAGCAATCATTGCACACTCTATACTATACTATATGAGCTCTCCAAACAACCCCAGACCATATCAGGCAATGGTCAGTTTGCTGTCCACAGTGTGATTTGCATACAGTATATATTGTTCATTACAATACAATGCAATTCATTTGTGGTTCACTTCTGCATAATTACTTACCCTTTTGACCATTACAGGTTGCTAAGTCAAGAAAAGATGAGTGCATTATTGCAGATTTGGAATGAGGAGCATATTACAAATCAACTAGGTCAACCGCCTCTATGCAATGGGTTTAACCAGATTGCTTTACTGTAAAATGCATTGTAAAAGTGACAAATTTAAGACATTGTTGCAAATTACTATTACGCAAAGGAAATAATGACAATGAGGCATTTATTATTCAGGTGAGCTGGATTCCAAAGAAATTTTATTTTATTTATTTTATGATTTTATGATTCATGTAATAAAAAATATAATTAATATTCTATCTAAAATATATACCTAATATTGAACATATTATTTAAAGTTTATAATTTTAGTATTGCTGTTATTACTATTATTATTTAAAATGTTAATATTCATATTTTTTCATATTTAATATTATTAGAACTATGGTTTTTACAAAGCCGTTTTTACAAAGCCAGTTCAATGTGGACGACTTCATGTGTATTAAACGGACATGAGCAAAATAGACAATTAAATTATTAATCACAATTATTTGTATTACAGTTAATCACCAGCCACATTTTTGCAGCCTTAACAGCTCTAGTGGAGGGAGAGAGAAGTGCAGTACAGACTGCTACTTCTGCTAACAGACGGACAAACAGATGGAGAAGTGTTTTAAAGCTGTGTGTGTGTGTGTGTGTGTGTGTGTGTGTGTGTGTGTGTGTTAGAGGTTGATTCTGAGTCACTGTACGGCCCATCCAGGAAATGAGCGCCTCTCTGCTTTGCTGCACTAAGGCCTACATCTCGCCTCTCTGTCTGTCTGTCTCTGTTTTACACACACACAGTGGATGAGAATGAACTAGAGCTCCCTCTAGAGTTTCTGTGCATTAAATGCCCCTTTTCTATTTTTAGGAGATAAAGAAAGACTCGAAAAAAGAGGTGAAGAAGGAGTCCAGCTTGGCCGGATCCAAATCAGACCTGTCCAATGGCAGCGCCAGCCCAAAATCAGAACCCAGCCTCAGACCCGCCAAGAAAGGTAGTGTATCTGATCTGTTCCTGATCCGAAAAGTAGTCCAGTGCTTATTCAGCACAAAACACCCACACAAACATCCCCTCATGTCTCACAGGACAGGATTTGGGGGGCGGTTATAGTTTCCGTCGATCCAAGATTCAATTAAACAGAGATCTGGCTCAGGTTTGCTTCTGGCAGATGAAAAGAGTGAGAGTTCAATCAAAAAATACTCTTGTAAAGACACTCAAGCCTTCTTAAATTTGCCAAGTCACCCATACAGGTCCGGAATATGTCAATCAGACTGGTCATGATGGGTGTGTGTGTGTGTGTGTGTGTGTGTGTGTGTGTGTGTGTGTGTGTGTGTGAGAGATTGGGCCTTTGCGAGTAAGTACAGTATTACTCTCAGACCAGAAACCATTTACTCCTACCACTTCCTGAGTGTGATGGTACGTAATTAAACATTATTAAATTTCCCTAACTCAGATAATTACAGAAACTTCACAAATTGTCTTTTTGGGGCTGGTGTGTGAATCCTCTTAATTGGTCAGATTTGAGTTGAAGTGGGTATGTTGTCAAATTAAATTAAATACAAATTCACAATTAAAGAATGATAAAACATAACAATAGGACACTTTGATCTTATAAAAATGAATACATTTTTAGTGATACTGTGTAATCATGTGAAGAAATAATGACTTTCAGTATGATTGCTAAATAATTAATATTACTTGCCTAATTAAACAATTAAGTAAATAAATAAGGTCACAGAGATATGTTTATTTAAAAAAAAACTCTGCCGGATACCTTTTTCACTGTTTTACTTTAAATGGGACAGATACTCAACAGGTTTCTGGAACACAAGCTCTGTTTACAGCCCTCAATTTATATCACCTGATTTTCAGACAACAGCGCTAGTGTAGGTTCATGTGACTTTAATTTGTTTTGCAGATAGAGATGTTCACTTTCAAAGACAATGTGAGGCAAAATATGTGCGTCTCATTGGTTTTCTCCAATGTATTGAAATGTCCAAAGTATTGAAATCTTTAGGCATTCTCAGTGCTTTTATGTCATCAAGATATTATGGTCCTGTGAGGCACGACATTTCGTTCCACTGTATGTCCCCACAACTTGAACTTGTTGAACTTGAACTTGAACTTAATATCGGTAGGTGAGAGCTGGGCTGCCCAATTTCTCCATTCTGTGGAGAACTGAAACTTTGGGTGTCTGTTGTCAGAGGCTATTTGTTGTCATGAGCCACAGAGGCCTGTGTGTTTAGTGAGAAGTCTTGGACCAAATTGTGTAGCTAATTGTTAGCATAAACTAAAGAGAAGAGCGACACCTAGTGCTGGAATGTGTAAGTGCTGCTCTGTTTTTTTGATAGATAGATAGATAGATAGATAGATAGATAGATAGATAGATAGATAGATAGATAGATAGATAGATAGATAATGATTTTTGATTAGATAATGATTAAAATGATTTTTGAAGGATCGTGTGACAGAAATGGCTGCTAAAAATTACAATTTTAAATAGAAAACAGTTATTTTAAATGGTAAAAATATTTGACAATATTACTGTTTTTACTTTTTACTGTATTTTGATCAAATAAATGCAGCCTTGGTGAACATAAAAGACTTCTTTCAAAAACAATGCAAATCTTACTGACCCCAAATTTTTTGAAAGATTACAAACATTATTTATCATTATTTATCTATGTGTATTTCACATAAACAGGTGAGGCAATCAGAAAAAAGCGTTGCAAAGCTGCCTTTAGCTACACTCCGCAGAATGAAGATGAGCTAGAACTGAAGATCGGAGATGTTATTGAGGTTCTGGGAGAGGTGAATACTGCATGACCATCCTAGTCACGTTATAATTATTTATTTATTTCTTTTTTTCAAAGAACCTCTAATTTATTTGTAGTGCTTAAAACCACTTCTGTGTGTGTTTGCTCGCTCAGGTGGAGGAGGGATGGTGGGAAGGCTTTCTCAATGGCAGATCTGGGATGTTCCCCTCTAACTTCACCAAGGAACTGTTGGCCGAGGCTGAAGATCTGACCCCACAGGACGACACACGCAGCACACGAACCAGTCAGTCTGCACCGCACTCACTTGACCACTAAAACTGCTTCCTCATCTTACCAGCTACATGTCTCTGAAGATTTCCAGACATCCAGGCCATGATAAAAATGGAATGGAATTTATTTTGGAGCATATTTTTCTATTTATTGAAGACATATTGTCTTGTGGATGTGGTAAAGCAGCAAGCAGGCAGATGGTGAAACATGAAAGTTTCATCCTGTCGCATATGACATCGTGATTCACACCATTAGGCAAGCGACTCCCACAGTAATTTGCGAGTCTTGTGATGTTACAGAGTGAAATGAGGTTAAGTATGGGGGAATCTCCACCTCCTCCCTACGGCTGATGAAGTCATTTGGATGAGTGGTGAAACATTTTTAATACACGGAAGAAATGCATCCAGATACTTATAAGCTGTACAAAATAACCAGCCACGTCTAACCAATCATCTTTAACCATTCACTTCCTCCCATGCTTTTAAGCAATTACAAGTATTCAATTCAGTTCAATTCAAAACACTTGCTAAAAGAATATGAAATATTTTATTTGTTTAGTTGCATGGCATGTGACCATTAACCAGCAACAGAGAACTGTGAACATGCAAATGTGTTTTTTAAATGATTGAAACATTAACTTAAATTCTCAGGAGGCACTTAACTAAGTATTTTAGGTCAAATGGGTTCAGCTGACAAAAAAGTTTGAGAATCCCTAGCCTAATAAATGTAATTTTTTTTTTTTTGTACTTTTGTTTTAATTAATTTTATTTGCACTGCTTTTGAATAGTATGGGGTCGAAAAGTTTTTTTAAGTTTTTGAAATATTTCTCTTATGCCCACAAAAGGTGCATTTATTTGATAAAAAATACAGTAAAAAACAGTAAACTATTACATATACAACTATTGAAATATTTTTACAATTTAAAATTGTAATTTTGAATCTGAATCTGAAATTATTCTAATATGTTGATTTGATGCTGAATAAATTATTATTAGTAGTAATGTTGAAAACTGATGTGGTGTTTAATATTCTTTTAACTTTAATACATTTTTCATACAGGATTTTTTTAGTCACTGATTAATAGAAATTTCAAAAGAACAGTGTTTTTTTTTTAATTGATTTTCTTTTCAATATTAATCTCTTTACTGTTACTCTTAATCATTTAAATGCTTCTTTGCTTAATAAAAGTATTCCTTTCATTCAAAAAAATCTTACTGAACCCAGAATTTTGAACTTATTTATTGATTATTTATATTATTATTTTTCAAATAAATTTTTTTTTTTTTGTACTTTTGTTTTAATTAATTTTATTTGCACTGCTTTTGAATAGTATGGGGTCGAAAAGTTTTTTTAAGTTTTTGAAATATTTCTCTTATGCCCACAAAAGGTGCATTTATTTGATAAAAAATACAGTAAAAAACAGTAAACTATTACATATACAACTATTGAAATATTTTTACAATTTAAAATTGTAATTTTGAATCTGAATCTGAAATTATTCTAATATGTTGATTTGATGCTGAATAAATTATTATTAGTAGTAATGTTGAAAACTGATGTGGTGTTTAATATTCTTTTAACTTTAATACATTTTTCATACAGGATTTTTTTAGTCACTGATTAATAGAAATTTCAAAAGAACAGTGTTTTTTTTTAATTGATTTTCTTTTCAATATTAATCTCTTTACTGTTACTCTTAATAATTTAAATGCTTCTTTGCTTAATAAAAGTATTCCTTTCATTCAAAAAAATCTTACTGAACCCAGAATTTTGAACTTATTTATTGATTATTTATATTATTATTTTTCAAATAAATTACTGTTAATTACCATATTCTTTTAAGCTGTTACCTTGAACCCATAATACCAATACCAGAAAATTTTCACAAAGTCAATTTCAATGTCACAGCTAAAATTAATATGCTAATGGTCCCAATCATTTATCACTGACCTACTGAGCTTTTACTATTGTGACAGACCTAAACAGCACTCTTGGCAAGGACAGATGGACTCTAACAGTTCAGCTGTGAAGAATGCTGCATGCAAAGGCTGTATGCAAATACTCAAGTCCTCCTTTGAAACTTGTTTGTGTATCTGCAGGTATAAAGGACAGCACCGGCTCAGAGAGTGATGGCGGCGACTCCAGTAGTTTACGGTCTGATACTGGCAGTGTGTCCTCCAGCTCTGAGATTCAGCCCAAAAAGGTTCGGGGGTTCGGCTTCGGGGACATCTTCAAAGACCAGCCTATCAAACTCCGCCCACGATCCCTGGACATGGACGGTGAGGGAGAAAAGGTGAGTTTGTATTATTGGAGTCCCTGTATTTTAATGAAGCAAATTGTATGTGCGTTTTACAACTCTGTAATTACAGTCAGGCCGTCTCTATCTTGGTCCCCTGCGTTTACTCTGCCTTCGGCCCCACAGTCTCTTGTTCATTAAAACCTTCCCGTCTTCCTGTCCCACTGAGAGCGGCATGCATCCCTTTGCTCATTTCCTCATTTTCTCTATCCATCATTAGCTCTCATTATTAGGCCCACATTTAATTTATGTCTTTCATTTCATTTTCAAACATAATTTTATTGATTATTTTGGCTTTGTGTTATTGTGGAAACTTTGCATTTGGTGTGTGTCTGTCTGTTTTTGAGTTCTTGCTCAGAGTTGCGAGTCAGTGTGGTTAGGAAGTCAGTGGCTATGTGTGAAATAGCAAGGTAGCATACTATGCATACTGTTTCTGCAGTATACAGTATGTACCAAATGCATGTGATTTGCTTTAAGAATGCACAAATTTGGTACATTATCAGTTATTGATTTCTTTAAACTTGTCTGTATCGCTTGATTTTGGATAATTAATTATGCATGCTAATTTCCCCTATTTTTGTAAATCTTTAAAAGCACAAATAATTTATTAACACTGTTAAATGTAATATTTAACAAATATTAAAGTAAATATCCATTTTTCATACTCTACATTATAATGTTGTGGGACATAAATTCACTTGATTTTAGTTTAACATTTTATTCTTAAATAAATTTTTAGTTGCATTTTTAACTAGTATTCCTTTCAAAGATAATTAATATAAATATGTAAAATAAATATTTATTGGTTTAAAACAGTGTGCACTACCCTAATTATTGTATCCATAATGCAATGTGTTTAACTTGATTTCCTGCAATAATTGAATCAGGTGTAATATCTTTTTTTTTCTTAGACTTTTTTCTTAAATGATGCAAACTGGTGCGGTCATGTGGAACAATGTGGCTTAATACTGTTTAAAAATGTTTATAGTTGCATGATATGGTTTCAAATGTTAAAACTTGGTGGGGAAGTCGTGGCCTAATGGTTAGAGAGTCGGACTTGTAACCCAAAGGTTGCAGGTTCGAGTCTCGTACCGGCAGGGATTGTAGGTGGGGGGAGTGAATGTACAGCGCTCTCTCCCACCTTCAATACCACGACTGAGGAAAAAAAAATGGCTGCCCACTGCTCCGGGTGTGTGTTCACGGTGTGTGTGTGTTCACTGCTGTGTGTGTGCACTTCGGATGGATAAATGCAGAGCACTAATTCCTAGTATGGGTCACCATACTTGGCCACATGTCACTTCACTCACTTATTTAAAGAAATAGTTGGCAGTATGCAGTAAGCAAGTAATCCATTTCAAATATAACATTTGTGCCTGTGTGTGTGTGTGTGTGTGTGTAGGAAGCAGTGTTGGGCAGTACCGCATTACTTAGTAATGCGTTACTGTAATTTGATTACTTTTTTAGTAACTAAGTAATTTAATGCGTTATAATTTCCAAAATAGTAATCAGATTATAGTTCCAAGCTGAGGTCTCTGTGCGTTACCGCTGCGTTACATCATTGCAGACAGAATGAGAATTAGAGACCTGCTCTCCCGCGGGACAGACGCAACAGAGAGCGGCGCGGGACGAGAATTGATGGGCGAGTGCGTAGAGACTCGTGTGTGTGTGTGTGTGCGCGTGCGGGATGCAGGAGAATAAAATGATTCGCGGGGCTCCCGCAAAATAGAAATACCTAAACATAAAATGTCTAAAAACAAATAAATTGCTATTCATCTATTGCACAAAAGCAACAAGAACAACTAATATAACATAAAAGCGATTAACAGGCGCAAGCATAGGCAGAGTTTCTATTTATAAAATGTGTTTGCAGCGTTAAGCAATGTTGATTTCTGGAACGCATTGGCCAATCAGAGATGTTAGAACCCACTCACCGCTCAAAATGTAGGATTTCCTCTGCAGCACTGAAATTTGAGTGCTCATGAGTCCTCTCATTATAACACAAGAATTGTAAACATTATGAAAGATTCATTATATTTATTGTCTTATAACAGAGCTTTTTGAGACTGCGATAAACTGAGATAAACGGAGCGCCCTTTGCTGGCATTCTGCCATGCCAAACCATGTGCGCAGCAGCCTATGCTTGCATTTAGTTAAAAATAAAAGTGGTTTGTGAATGTTGATGCTTTAATAACAAATATTTATGCTGGAATGTTGTGGCTATTAACACAAAACTTACCTTTTCATGTAAATTTAATGCATGTAACAAAAAAAGTAACGTAACTAGTAATGTAACTAATTACTTTTGAAATAAAGTAATCAGAAAAGTAACTTGATTACTTTTAAAAGGAGTAATCAGTAATTTAATTACATTTTCAGAGTAACTTGCCCAACTCTGGTAGGAAGATGACACACAGATAGCTGATCTGGCACTCTCGGTCACTTAGAAAGGAAGTCATTATCAAAGAGGTGTTTATGGGACGTCTTCCGCACTTTGTGTCTCTCAGCCTCACTTTGTTTAGACCGAAAGGGAAGGAAATCTCTCCAGATCGTCTCTGAATATCTATTATTAGATATTCTAGATTAACTCTTCTACCTGTTACATACAGAGACAATTTTCTAGTTTACAAGGCAAGTGATCAATGGAATATAGAAATCCGATGTCATTTACAAGCTGTAGGTTTATCCATATACAAATTTACCACACCCCTTGCATGGCTCTCTTTCCATATCCACCCCTCTCCTCCACTCTTCCTCTCTCTCTCTCTGAGTGGTTTCCTGACTTTAGGGCTGTTTTAAAGCAGAAGTAGGGCTTGTAAGACTGTAAGAGACTGTCATGACTCAGGGGGGAGTGAACTGAAAGCTTGTTGGAGGTTCCTGTTGCAGGCAGGACTTGCGCACACAGATGCAGGTATCAACACCAGCCATTTCTGAAGGATTGTTTTGTCGTTTTGCGAAAAGGTAAATATTAAATTATCTATTTTTATCTGCATCGCTCTCTCTATCTATTCGTCTTTCTATACTAATAATGTAAAACTGGCTAGAAGTGAGCTGTTAAACGACGACCGAGATGTGTTTGCTTTCATGTGGCTGTAATTTGGGCTTTGAGACACAGCATTAAATTGTTCTGAGGGTGTAAGACATCGTAGGGTCTTCACAGAGATGTCATGAGGCCTTTGAGAAAAGCAGTGCAGTCAGATGTTGTAATGATGTTCCTATTATGTCGTTTAAACATTTGGCTGCCACATGGTGCTTGTTAGTCCGACTCCATCATGACTGCTCTAAATGAGAGGAAAAGGAAGAGAGGGAGAAGGAGGAAGAGTGGGTGAGTTTTTTTTTCCCTCAGCGAACACAGCAAATGTGTGTGTGTTAAAGCCACATTGGGAGCGCGGGATGTTAAAGAGCTTGTTGTATGTTGGGTTGGATTGATTCCCTGCCATGTTTGTGGAAGGACTGTGGCTCCCCTGCCGGAAAGAGGCCAGATAAACAGAGCCAAATGGACAGTATGTTATTCACACACGTTTTCAATGTTTTAATTCACTGGGCCCCTGACAGCTTTTTATGGACTCAGAAATGTACAATATCGTGTACATTTATTAAATTGTGTGTCAAATTATTGCTGATTACTATCAAATAAATGCATCCATTTTTGCAAAAATGTTGTAACCTTCATCAGGGTCAGGATCAGTACTCATAGTTACCTTCATTGATGACCATTAACTTATAGACAGCATGATTATTTTTAATATGAATTAAAATTGATATGAAATGAGTTACTATATTTACATGTTTATAATTTTAAAAATTATATATATATATACATACATACATAATAAATATACACAGAACACACGCATATATTATGCAAATGAAAACTTTTGTATGCGATTAATCGCAATTAATCGTTTGACAGCACTATATTTTATCCACACTATATTTTATCCACAGCACTATCCATTTTATAGTTGTTTATCAACCCCCAGGACCACTAGGTAACTTCGTGGAAGAATTAGATGTGCTGCTCTCAACCTTT